GGGGCGAGCGTTATCATGCAGGATGATGATGTTTCGTCCCGGACGTTTATCGCGCAATGCACGACGGTGGTTGTGCAGCGTCTGGACATAACGAGCAGCACTGATGGTTTGCCCAGGTTCCAGGAATTCGGCCAGAATAAACTCCTCTGCATACCAGAAGACTGTGCCCATCACCTTTGCAGCTGATGGCACTGTCTTTGCCTTCTTTTTTGATGGAGAATGCAAATGGTGCCATTCCATACTCTGCCGTTTCGTTTCAGGCTCGAAATGGTGGAACCAGCTTTCGTCACCTGTCACAATACAGAGCAAAAAATCGTCGCTTTGGTGTCGATATCTCTGCAGCAGTTCTGAGGTGATGGCTTTTCGCTTCGGTCAATAACCGCGGGTCCCAAAGAGCACAAATTTCCTATTCCCAAGCTTTCAATCATCTCCTGTACTGCACTGTGTCCTATTCCAAGTTTTCGAGCTATTGTGTCCACAGTCACACGCCTGTCATCTTGAATGATCTCATCCACTCTTTCCTTGTTGCGTTCAGTTGAGGCTGTTCGAGGACGACCGCTCCGAGGCTCATCTTCGATGCTGGTGTTCCCATGTTTAAAACGTTTCACCCATCTTCGAACACTGCTCGCACCCATGCACACACTTCCATAAGCACGCTGAAGTCTCTGGTGAATTTCTGCAGCAGGGATTTCCTCTTTCACAAGAAATTTGATGCCAGCACGCTGGCGAAACAACATATCGTTGTCGGCCATTTTGTTAGGAGTGATACTGGTCACTTGATGCAAGATATTGACGTCACAAGACACTCAAGGTTAACACAACAGTTGGTTCCACCTACCAACGTACTCTCTTTCGTCTGCTGTTCCCAGGTTGCATGCAAAAAAAAAGGTTGCTCATGACTTTCGGCACGACCTACGCATAAACACGTTCTGTGACACATTTAACAAATTAATGGATGCTCCAAGAAAGGAGTGGAATAAAAGACTTTATTATTCTTAATTTCCTTCTCACAAAAGAAACAACCCACTGGTTTGTAGATGCAGCAAATTGGAAGGTGAAATCTAAGTGAGTCATGCATGACCTTCAAGCAGGAATTTATCCCAACAAAAAGAAATCTGTGGTCAAGGTAAAGTCACAAGAAGACAATGGACATTACATCCATATAATAAATTTCGGCTGCATTTTTCATGTATCATTTCCCTCACAAAATTCGAGATGTGCACAACAATAAGGTAAAGTGTCTGTTAATGACCGGAACATGGTTAGGTTTCCTGTAATATTATAAACTTTAAAGGAGTAACACTCAAATACTGCAATATCTCTTCATCATATTGTCAAGTGTCACAGTGACTAAATACGGGGTTCGGACAGGTAATTAGATTTATTAACAACCTACAGGTCGTAACTACAATTAATTATAACACTATTGCTGCTTTACGCAATTTACAATCACTCCACATTAACCCTTCAATGCCAACCTCGGTGTCCTGCACCGACATGGTTATTTAATCTCCTCGGTCTATCTACATTCGTTTTCACAAATATATAACACACGAACTATAAAAGTCTCCCTAAATTACACATTCCCAATGTCACTGCACTATGGTACACATAATGAATTCAAATCACACGTTAAATCGTCGCAGGCTGACTTCTTGTACTCTTCTGTACTCCTTAAGTTTACTACTGTTTTCTTGTTTTTTCGGTTGCTCCTCCCGCTACTACTCGTAACTATTGTACTTCTCCAGCTTATTGCTCTCCTCTTGTTTCAGTGTTTCTGCCACTACTGCTCACTCATAGCTGCTCCGAACGAATTCTGGCACTCTTGCTTATATAGTCGCGGAACGGACATGAACCCACAGAAACACATATCACGTGATCGTTATCCAGCCAGTCTATTGGCGCGTCAGTAGGTTCTACAAAACACACAGCTTCCTCTATTGTTGCGTTTTGGACTGTGCTTACAGTGTTGTTGCCTGGCAACGTGTTGATCAAATTAATTGCAATATATTTAGTCCTTCAGTAAAAATGCGACACAAACAAATGGTCCTGCATATTTGGTACTGGAATTACAGTAAATTATCTGTTATAACACATTGTTATAAAACATTATAATCACCGTAAGCACGAGATAATTCCGTGGGTATGATAAATTGTAATTATTAATTAATACACCAAGATAAGCGCATCCGGCATGGAGAGCATGATCATATTTTGTGGTATAAATGAACATACCACACTCTCAGCACCAAAATATTATCGGAATTAATATACAGAGAAATATTTTCCATTGAAATGTGTAAATATAAATACAACAAGAAATTAAAATTTACGTCCTACATCGAATTAAATGGAATGTATTTTCATCGAAATATTTAGGCATAAAGATGAAAAGGAATTAAGTTTACTTCTGCAATCTCAAACGAAATAAGGATCTGAATCACGATAAAAATGTAATGCAATATTTCCTTCCGTCACTACAACCTCGGCTGGCATGCATGTTGGAAACAGCACACAATTAATTCCATAGTAATTTGGATGATCTCAATTAGTTCAGTGGTAGGAAGCAGGAAACCAGCAGAATATTGCAGAACACGGACAAGAAAATTACATTTTATACACACGTATACCAGATGAATCAGTAAAGGAAACAAGCATTAGGCCTACTTCATTTTGAGTATATACAGTCAATATGGCGAACATCACTAGCCTCTGGGCTTGAAACAATATTCCAAGTCCTATACGATAAATTTGTAGATTGATGCAACATTGCAAAGACCAGAACGTAAAAGGGTAACAACAGCTTAATATTAGTTTTTAATCTTTCAAGAACAAAGAATACTCGTATATACGCGCGCGCCCGCGTGTGTGTGTGTGTTTTGGTCCTTTATTTTAGTTAGGACGTCTGTGAAATTCACTCTACGATTAAAACAGTCAGAACCCTCATTATTTGATAAGCTAATTCTTGTATGTAGGATCTGAGGTTCTCACATCGGTTATGATTTTTTTTTCAGTAAAGCTGCAATAAGGGATGGTATGGATTGGATAGATCTGGCTCAGGATAGGGACCAGTGGAGGGCTCTTGTGAACAAGGTGATGAATCTTCGGGTTCCACAAAATGCTGGGAAATTCTTGAGTAGCTGCAGAATTGGCGGCTCCTCAAGAAGAGCTCAGCTCCATGAGTAAGTAATGCTGCAATAAGCTTGTTTTACTCTGATTACGTCTTTAAACAATATTTACTTTCTTTTATCTTGTCACTCTGCATCCGACGTAAGAAAGGTAATAGCTGGAAAAGTACTCCATAGCCAACATATACTATCGTCGTTTTAATGAAGAAAGCTGAAAAAGTTATTTATTATAAAGGGTTATTGCCAATTTCTACCTAAAAATTAGCTTACCTCAAGTTTCTAAAGTCCTAGTAATTGTCAACAAATTATCATGCCCTTATCACTACGAATGGTACAATTACAAGGGTAGCAACCCTATTCTGTATTCCGGAGTTGTCGGATAAGAATTTTTGACACGGAGGTCTTGAGTTATTGTACCTGTAGCTTCCAGGTGAGGGAGAGTTTGCATCTTTAAAGANGAAACGTCGGTTAACACCACATATACACGGTGCCAAATCCCAGAAGACTGCTTTCTTCATAATCACCGCCGTGAAAGCCTCAAATCTTACACAGTTAAATATTGTTTGAATTAAGGAATACAAGATTCAAGGTCACTAAGATCATGACTTAGCAGATAACGTTCTCCGACCTCGCATCATATTTTCCTTATATTCCTAAATTTCAGTTCCATTTGTACTCTTGTATATTTCGCAACATCCGCTGCTTGCTTATGCTTCGTTATCGCCTTCCTGTGCCACATGCATTTCTCGTGACTAGGATCGAAATATTTATATCAGTATTAAAACATGGTGTCCTGAAGATTGAGGTTCCGAAATATCGGTAACCACTGACAAGTCTATGTGGTATCATAAACCAGAACACCAAAACGTAAATCTTCTGGTCCCTTGAAACTTCAAATCTCACATAAGTTGGACTTATTTTGAGTTTATTTTGTTTTGAATTCTATTTTATATGTTTTTTAACAGATGCGCAGTCAGAAAGGGTCAGAGTAATTCAGTGGGCTTGTGACGGTCCATGGGTCCATCAAGCGTAATTACTCGGCTTAATTTTGATTCGTGTTCCTTTACCTGGCAGTGAACAGGGCGGCTTCCATGGACCACGCAATGCTGGAAAATGTATCTGTGTGTGAAGTTCAGTGTCTGAGAACTCTTGCATTTTGAAGATTCATTTTAATTTAGTCAGAGGTGAAAAGGATGATACACGTATTATTGAGAAGATCTCAAACTTTAATTACTGTGGTTACAAAATACTATAGGCCCACAATAATATAGCCGATCACAGTGGCTGCGCTGTCTGTGGCATGAACTGTCTTTGCCCGCTCTAACACTTGGGTCGTGGGTTCGAATCCCACTCGAGGCATGGATGTTTGTGTAAGTTTATTGTGTGATTGTGTTGTCATAAGCAGGCAGCGGCCTTGAGACGGCCTGATCCCCCATCCAATGAGTCCTACCGACTGTCTATAAGATTAAGAAACTGTAGTGAAAAAAGCGTTTCGCAGATGCCTTATGCTCCAAGTGGGAGAAACAGGAATTTTAATAAATCAATGAATGAATAATAATATAAATGTTTATAAAGGACAGAAAAACTGTTATGAATATATATGCATTTGATTACATTTATATATATACATATACGCACATTAAGCCCATATGACGTAATTTTTGGAACACACTGTGGTTAGTCCGATTTTTTTTTTTGCGCCAGTTGTTACAGCATAAACCTACCACCCTCATCAGTATTAGTAACATAGTCTTGTTGTGCTCGTAACTTTCATCAGAGCCGATTTGTGTATATGTTACAAATTATGTGCCCGTCTTTAATGTGGAAAGCAATTGACTCGCTTCAGTCTTGGCAATTTTAATCCAATCATACCTTGCAGGTGTTGTGACATACACGCAACGGCAACTAGCAGTTCGGGTTGGACGGACTCGTACATCATTAGCATTCAGACTGCCACATAAACGCCGCACTCCCTTCCAGTGACAGTGAAATGCTTCTAATTTTGTAACTTCCTTAATTTGCCGCATCCCTTCTTCTCCAGCCAAAATTAGAGATGTCGGGACCTTGTGTACTCGGATTTTCCAGCTAAGTGGGCAGAGGGAAAGAAATATGAGACACAAACCTAACCAACTGGTTGGAGCAAAATTATTCTTCAGAAGTCCTTCAGTTTGTCAAGAAATTCCCAGCCTTTTTCATAGAATCTGAAGGGTTTCTAGGATACACTCTATTATTGCATGTACACCTAGATCTTCAGACTATGTGCTGTGAAGCTCATTAGGGTCGTGGGCTCGAGTCATGCAAGAGGAAGGATATTTGAAGAATGTCGTCTTCTGGGATGTGACACTGTAGATCTTGTGTGATCAGGTGGCTACAGAGTGCAGTCTGCAGCAGCCACCTGCACAAGCTGGCTCCTCGCTCCTGGGTTTGTCTACCCTGATGCTGGAGGCGATATGTTCCTCCGAAAGATCGGTTCACACGAGATCTACAAGTCACCACATCCCAGAAGACGGCATTCTTTGTAGCCTCCGCCGTGTAAATATCAGACTTTACATAGGAAGGATATTGGCTGCGCTTTTCTGCGTTGTGTTTCCACGTAATCAGAGACCCCGAAATGGGTCGCTCCTTTGTCTGAGAAATTCTACCAAGAAAGTAGAGGATCAATATATACGTAGAATTAATTCTGAAACGGAACAGGCTTCAGGTGTGTGGAATTAATAGAAGGCGTGTACTTAATTACATGTATATGGAAAATAATTTTACACCGAGGAGTTCTATGACTTGGACTCTTCATGAAGCTATACAGAATTTATGGAGCTGTCACAGCTCAATCAGTGAAGTGACAGAATACTTGTAGGATGGCCGGAGTTTCATTCCTGGTAGGGATAACGAAATTTTTATTTCTTAAAGAGGCTCCGGGATACACTCAATGTCTGATTCAATGGGTGGACTTACGGGGGGAGGGGCGGTAAAGCTACCATAGCATTGAGATAGTGCTTTAACGCCACCGCCTTCGTGGCGTGGTGCTTAGATCAGGAACTGACACGATGGTTTGTCACAAAGAAGAAAGGAGAGCCGCAGTATACTGTGATGCAGAGGTGCAGGGGAAGTTACGTAAGTTACACGGTTCCTGCCGGATGTGAACTAACCAGATGTAGGCCTACTGATTGTTGAGATTAGAGCTGTGATAACGATGAGAACATTCGTTGCGACATCGGTGGCGTAAAACGGAAGCACTGCACCATTGAGGAGTGGCAGCTGTCTTCTTAAACGCCAAGCTGGAGTACCATTCCTTGTCGGCTGTCTGTGACTGCTTATTCAATATGGGTATTCGTAGATATCTTCCACGTCTGGAGGCCTCCTCCCCTTGCAAAATGAAATTGTGCCAAGCCGTAGACACAAGAGGCTTAACGTGGGTTATTATTTTACTTTTAATTCATAAGTTGGCATTAAAGATTTTTTTTTTTTCAAATATCTGCCGTCACACATTTCAGGATTCCATATGGCTGGCGTCTGTCGCATGATGTGATCTAGAACTTCATGACATTCGTGTTAAAGTTCATGAAAATCAATCACTGTGACAAAAAATTAGTAGAAGGCTTAGCCACATACACACGATTCCACATCATGGCGTTAAATTTCGAAATTCCTTGCACAAATTCAACTGGATTTATGTTCTCTCGGCTGTTTGCCGGAAACTAACGGTCATTAGGAGGGTCTGAGTACAGATGGAGGTATGTGTCATCTAGTGACTCTGATGTTCTTCCATGCAGGGCAATATTGTAACACTGTAGACAGAACAAGACTTCCACGAATTCAAGGCAGGCCGACATGTTACTATGACGTCCATATATTTGTGAAAAAATCCAGTTTGGCTTTGTGCTTGTGGTGAGACAACTTTCGTCATATAGTCGTCCAATATACGCAGGACCGTTTGTGGCGAACGTTCTGCTGGGATTCCCGGTCTTAATACTGCCTGCGGGCAACTGGCAGAGCAGTTACTCTTACAAGAGGCCGCGCCATAGCTCAAGCGGTTAGTCGCTGGCTTCCCATCGTGGCGGCCCGGGTTCGATCCCGGGTCTGGCCAAGTGGGATTTGTGGTGGACAAAGTGGCGCTGGGGCTGTTTTTCTCCGAGTACCCCGGTTTCCCCTGCAAATCTTCATTCTACCAATTGCTCCACAATCACCCTCACCTATCATATGGGGCTGGTACAATAGGCCAGAAGTGGCCGCAGTACAAGGGACTTAGTCCCACCCCACTAGCAATAAAAAAATAGTCCCACCCCACTAGCAATAAGAAAATACTCTCATAAGAAGCGTGCTGCAGGCAGGCTGTAGGAATATTGAAACACGCAAGTAGTGTACCTGTCTATTTTTGAGAAAGGTGTAGCAGCAAGTCTGTACGTTTGTAGTTGGGAGTTATTCGGTTAGAATCTCGACCGCATTTTCATCTACTTAAATGGAAAATGTTCGTAGTTTTCCTCTGCCTTCACAGCAGAATTGCAGAACAGAACCTTCAGATGGGCAATGGTAAGGAACTGGACCTTCTGAACTGTCGCCAACACATCTCTCTCGACGCCTACATATCCTGTATCTATCGTTATTATCATGGGAGCGAAAAGGGGGCATGGGTGTATAGTTCTCTATTGGTGATATGTTCTGTTCCAGTCATCCTACTGCTGCGTAACCGATGTCCATGCTGTTCTGTGCTACGTATTCGGGTGATCTGAGGGTTTGGATCTCGGCCAGAGACTAACCAGCCCAACGTGGATTTCCGTTCTTTTTGCCATTTGAGACAAATCGTGGACAACATCCCAAAATGTGTCACATCCTTTACAATTCACCGTTACCTGTGCCTTTCAAGTCACTTCTATAATATTTTGTTCTGATTATTCTTGGCGATAAACTCTAATATTTATATAAGAAGTAACTAGAACCTTATACAAATCCTTACACCTGCTTGTAGTCTGACACAATCTAGCCAATGAAATAAACGACTGAATGATTATCATGTTATTCTGAGTAGTATTTTGCTCCACAAATAACATATCGTGAGTGGCATGGGAAAATAACCACACAAGTGAATAGCAAGAATTTGGAAGGTGTCAATCTTTTGGTTTAGTTTGTATTCTATAACCACATAGGCATTCGCCTGAAGAGAATTAAGAAAAACACAGAGAAATAACCACAAAAATCGCTGTTCCGAGTAAGATTCAAATTTGGTACCTATCGAATGCAAGTCTAAAACGTTATGATTACACCAGACTTCTGGGCCCTGGTCAAATGGCCTTTACAAGACCGACTGATGTCCTCAGAAATAGAGAATCTGTGAGCAACCAGCGAGGTCCTGAGATCCCCTGTATAGCACTTAAAGCTCTCCTGCTAACAGCTAAGAATGAATCCCACACCAATCTGTAAGGTTTTCCAGCGAGAGCGTCTCGGCACGAGTTATCAGCATGATGACCACGTTTGTGTTCTTTCGTATGTGACAATTGCAAAGGTCGTCATGTGTGAGAGTGGTGGCCATTATGAATGGCGAATCGGTTGATGCAAGGAAAACGACCGTGGCCTACATTTATGTTCCAGCTACAATGGACACTAATAAGTCACAGCCTTCTTTCACTTCAAGAACGGTATCAGCACTTAGAGATGTTTGGAATGGGATGTTTTAAGGCTCATATAAATACGCCTTCAAACTATCGAAAAGATTTGTTTTACAGAAGTAGAAAAAAATCCATATCTATACTTACAAATGACAGCACCCTGGGCGCTAAAATACGTAAATGTTAGAATACTCATGGTCACATTTCGTATGCAGATACAGTATATATATATATATACATATATATATATATATTCTCGATAAAATTAGCCGTTAGAGGAAGGGGGAGGATTGGGAAAGGGCTAATGGAATGTTAAACAGGCCCTCGGTCATAAAGGGTCATTTGGAAAGACCTGCGTAACGGAAAATGACGTGAGGTTTGAAACTTTGAATGTTAGAATTCTCTGGAGACATGTTTACTAATGAGAAATGCATACAAGGTTTCATTCGGAAAACCTGCAGAGAAGAGAGGCCTAGGAGACATACGGGACCTGGGCGTACGTGGGATATTAAGGAAATATGGTATGAGGATGTGAACAGGATTTATCTGGCTCAGGACCAGGATCGGTGCCAATGTCTGCAGAGCATATGAAGAACCTTCAGGTTCCAAGAGAGGTGGGAACTTCTATAGAAGACTGAGCTGCTCAGAGCTAGTCAGCAGAAGACAAGCAAATAATACTGAATCAAGAATTCAATATTCTGGGTTGTGATGACTTGTGTTCTGGTAGATGAACACCAACGTGTCGAAGGGACATACTCGTACTGCTCTTACCAACCAAAATTATGATCTGTTTCTGGTCCGTTATTCTGCTATGTGTCTCTATAACTCGGGTAGGACAAAGTGATAGCTCATCTTCGCCAAAGCACCGAGATCTTGTGAATGTGACGAGAATTGGTGCCGGGATAATAATGGAGATCAGGTGACAATCTGGTCAATGCCTGGTGAAGAGTGGGAAATTTGTTATCACATAGAACTATGAACTATGAAGAGATACAACGGCAACACGCATTTACTTATATTTTCCGTTGTTCTGTTATATTATTATATTAATGGAATACAATTTGGTATCATATACTGAGTTAAATATTTAGGGAATTAATCAGACTTATTCTCTTTTGCAATAATTTTAGTTGGTATGAACTGAATACAAATTATTATTACAAGAATATTCCGAAGTCCGAAATGTGACGACAAGCGTCGTGACGCGTTTGCGACAAATGTCAATGTCTTGTGAATATGTAATGGACCTCGAGGTTCTGAGAAAGGAGGGGGAATTCCCTGGGCAGCTTCTCAGTAGGACTCTCCCGAATGGAGCCAATTCAGTGCAACAGACAGTACATAAATAAAACCGACTCAATAGTGTAGTCTTCTGGGATGCTACGCCGTGTAGCCTGTTAGATATATAACGACGTTTCGGAGAAACATACGGCCTCCATTTACCATAAAGATGGTGAAAGCATGTTTCTCCGAAACGTTGATTAACAA